GAGGACACATATGTAATACCCTTTGTAATACTTATTATAATATTTAAAAAAAAAAAAAGAAATCACCTCACACTAGTCAGAATGGCTATTATAAAAAGTCAACAAATAACATGTGTTGGTGAGGATGTGGAGAACAGGGAACCCTTGAACTCTGTTGGTGGGGTGTAGCCCCTATGGAAAACAGTATGGCGATTCCTCAAAAACTAAAAATAGATATACCATACAACCCAGCAATTATACTTCTGGGTATTTGTTGGAAGAAAACAAGAACACTACTTTGAACAGATATATGCACCCCTATGTTCACAGCAGCATTATTTACAATATCTATCATGGCATTCTTAATTTGATGTTGCAAAAATATTTAAGTACAATCAAAACTACTTAAATCTAATTTTATCTCGACACTTGGATGGAGCTAAAGGATCTCTCTCTTTCTCTCTCTCTCTCTCTCTCTCTCTCTCTCTCTCTCTCTCTCTCACACACACACACACACACACACACACACACACACACACGAACACACACACAACTTACTGTTTGAGCCACGGATGCCTAACTTATCTTCAGGCTTCCCATTAGTGATTCCACCAAAGTCTCTCTCTACTATAAATGCTGTCATTTTGTCTTTTACTGAGCCGTCGGAATCAACAACATTGGTTTTAGCAAACACGGTAAAAATACTGGCAAGTCCTCCATTGGTGATCCAGACCTGAAGGAAAAAAGCAAAAGAACTTTGGAGAAAACCAAACTATCATGAGCCACCTCTAAGCCCCATCTTTGCCACAAGACATGCCAGCTGCCCATCGAACTTCAGGCTAGAGCAGTGATGGCGAACCTTTTGAGCTCGGTGTGTCAGCATTTTGAAAAACCCTAACTTAACTCTGGTGCTGTGTCACATATAGAAATTTTTTGATATTTGCAACCATAGTAAAACAAAGACTTATATTTTTGATATTTATTTTATCTATTTAAATGCCATTTAACAAAGAAAAATCAACCAAAAAAATGAGTTCGCGTGTCACCTCTGACACACGTGTCATAGGTTCGCCATCACTGGGCTAGACTGTAAAGCCCTGGGGAACCCAGTCTCTCCAGAGCAAGGATGTTGCCAAGAGACACAAGTGGCCGTGTGTGTGTGTGTGTGTGTGTGTGTGTGTGTGTGTGTTGGGCGGGAGGGTGTAGAACAGTGGTTCTCAACCTTCCTAATGCCCCGACCCTTTAATACAGTTCCTCATGTTGTGGTGACCCCCAATTTCATTGTTACAAATTGAACATAATTAAAGCATAGTGATTAATCACAAAAACAATATGTAATTATATATGTGTTTTCCAATGGTCTTAGGCGACTGCTGTGAAAGGGTCATTCGACCCCCAAAGGGGTTGCAACCCACAGGTTGAGAACCGCTGGTGTAGAAGAATAGCCAATGGTACTAAGATGGTTCAAGCTCTAGCACTAAACAAATGGGTTTTCTCAAGAAAGGGGAATAGGGACAGAAAGGAGCAAGGAAACGGGGTGGAAGAAATAGCAGAGGAAGGGAGAGGTAAACATCGAAACTTCTCAACACAATGTATGGAACCTATTTGGATCTTAATTCAAGCAAATGATTGGAAAAATAAAAAGGTAACCACAGAAATAGTCATAGAAATTTGAATGATAACTAGATAGTAAGGAATTATAAATTTTTAAAATTGTGTTAATGGTATTATAATTAAAAAGAAAATTCCTGCCTTTTAGCTGAAACAGTATGGATGCAATCCAGAGGTGGCAATGCTGACAGAGAAACAGGACTGGCTAAGAAGAAATAATTGCTGAAGATGGTGAGGGTACATAGAAGTTCACAGTACTGAACTTAAAAACAAACAACCAACAGTAGATCAGGGAAGTAGTTGGTACTATGGAAACATATAGATTGTGGAGCCAGAACTTCTTGGCTCCAATCCTGGCTCTGTCACTAAGCATAGGATGTCTGCAGAACCTCTTTGAGACCCAGTTTCTTCTTTCAAAAAAAGAAAGTAGCATCCACCCAAGAGGTGATGGGCAAAAGATGATGTGCAGTCCCTGGTGCGTGGAAAGTGGTCAGTGAGACCACTGACCTAGGGGAGAAACCAAGATGGCGGCATAGGTAAACACCTGAAATTGCTGCCTCCCACAACCACTTCAAAACTACAACTGAAAGACAAAACGGACATCATCCAGAACCACAGGAAGGCTGGCTGAGTGGAAATTCTACAACTAGAAGGAAAGAGAAAAGCACACTGAGACTCAGAGGAGGTGCGGAAGTAAAGTGCAGAGGTACGGAGGCGCATGCGGCAAGGGCTGGCAACTGAGGACACGGTTGTCTTTTTCAATCAGGAGGGAGTCTCAAGCTCCGACTGCTCTGAACTCCAGTTCCGGGCGAGTCTCTGGGGACCCAGACTCATACGGGGAGAAACTGGACTGTCTGGCAGCGGGCAGAACTCGAGGGCGGCTTTCTCTCAGAGGTGCTTGCAGC